GACGCAATCTCTTACGTATGAGCTGGAACTTCCATTCTTATATGCAATTTCTTCTCCAGGGAAGCCTCAGTCCTCTTCTGACCTTTCAACTAACTGTCTCCAACTCAGTCATACCTGCAAAATAGTGTCGTATTAATTCCTATTAGTGTTTGAATAATTGGCATCCATAACCCATTTAAGATATCATGCAGGTGGAGCACTGTGTATATTACATGGCAATATTTATATATGGCTAGATATAGAGTATGGAAGACAGTAATTGGATAATAGAGCTTCTCATTAAAGTGACCCATAAAATAAATAACTTGAATACTTTATCTGACCACAAAAATATATTTGATGTGGCATAATTCTGGCATATAATTTCTCTGACACTAGGCTGTCACCTTTGCATATGTGTTTAAGGTGGTGTGCCCCTCTGTCATATAAAGGCAAGGGAATCTTTCTGTTGTGGAGAAGGTGACCCACCATTTCCTTCCCTTCTTGTTGCTCCTTGACTTGTAGCCCGGACCTGATTTTCTAATTCATCCCTTGATTGTCTGTCATGGAAAATGCTTTGTTACATTAATATAGTTCTATTTTTTCAGTTATGAATAACGTTTCAAGGCTTAATGTAGCTGTTGAAAGTCCCACATTACTGATCTAGGTATTATCACCATGGGAGTTAAAGTCATGAGACAATTTTATGGGGATAATTTCTTGGCAAAGTTAGATTTTGTGCTGAAGTCCTGCTGGGTACTGCACACATTGATAGATGGCCCACTGTTTAATAGGACATCTCACTGTTCATGTATGTGAGGAATGTTTGTGCTAATTAGAGACTTAGGAGAAAATCCTGCTTTATTGTTGTAGGTTTTTGCATGAGGAGTTTCCCTCATTCTGTCATTTTTTTCTGTAGCATTTAAAGAAGTGTTTTTGCCAAACAACTGAAAGTATGAATGTAACTTTTTTTTGTGGTATCCTGTGAAAGTGTTTCCAAGGCTCCTGGACTGAATATTTAAGAATAACACAACAGAGAGACGTTTTTCAATGACTGGTGTGGTTTTTAAAAATGATCAATTCAGAGTCCAAGGTTGCGCAAATCTGGTCTACATGAATAGTATTCTTAAAAAATACACATGAGAATGAATATATGTGTGTATATGTATGTGTATTCTCAAGTGTATGTATGTATGTATGCATGTATGTATGCATGTATATGTGAACATGTCTGTGGGGGTTCGATGCTGATATTGAGAGACTTCTTGGTCATTCTCTACTTTAGTTATTGAGGCAGGATCTTTCAGTCAAACTCAGAGTTTGCTATATAAGCCTAGTCTAGCCAGTCAGCTTCTTCTGGGAATACTTTGTCCCTGCCACTTGGACACTGGAATTACAGATGTGCCATCATGCTCATCTAATATTTATGTGGGTTCTGGGCATTCAAACTCTAGTACTTATGATTGCATGACAAGTATTTTAGCCCGTGAGCCATTTACAAGTCCTGTAGTATATATTTTAAGCTTGAATCAATGTATATATCAGTCCTACATACCCTAGTTAGCTACTGTCACTAAGATTCCACATTACTTCCCACCTGACTGCTTCAAATATATACTACATGACTACTCTGGAAAGTTATTCAAATGGTTTAGTGGAAATGCAGCAGCAGATACAGATTATGTGTGTTTACACCTTCTTGGAGCATATGCTACAGTTGAAGTTCCTAGACTCAGGAACTTCTAGGGCACATAAGAGCTGAACTAGAGATGTCTTTTTGTTGCCTGTATTAGTTAGGGTTTCTATTGCTACAGCAAAACACCATGACCAAAAAGCAAGTTGAGGAGGAAAGGGTTTATTCAGCTTATACTTCCACATTGCTGTTCATCACCAAAGGAAGTCAGCACAGAGACTCAAACAGTGTAGGATCCTGGAGGCAGAGCTGATAGAGACCTTAGAGGGATGCTGCTTACTGACTTGCCTAGTCTGCTTTCTTATAGAACCAAGAATCATGGAACCCAGGGCTGGGCCTTCCTCCATTGATCACTAATTGAGAAAAAGTCTTTCAGCTAGATCTCATGGAGGCATTTTCTCAGCTGAGGCTCCTTCCTCTCTGGTAATTCTAGCTTGTGTCAAGTTAACATTAAAACCAAGCAGTAAACTTCCAGCTCTTTCATCATTTGAGGAATATTGAGAGAGAGACTGGGGGCTAAAATGAGACATCTTAACTGGGTTGGGGAAGTCAGAGTTGAAGCTGTTGCTTGGGAGGAACCTGTCAGGTTTGCTTTGTTTGCTGACACTGAGAGGAATGAATGGGATGAATAGGATTGTGGGAGATATGGGAGAGGAGAGGAAAGATGAGGAGAAGAACAGGACAAAGGGAGAGAGAATGAGAAAGAAAAACACTACACTAACGGTTTTTCTATGGGTGCTGGGCATTGGACCTAGGTCCCTGTATTTACAAAGAAAGTCTTTTATCAACTCAGATATCCCAAGCCTTAATTTAATACATCTTAATAATATGAATATAAAGAATGGATACATATTTTAAAAGGTTAAAACAAATCCATTGGAGTTGATAACCTAGAGGTGGTTCTAGAAACCAAACAAGTAGTGTGGAGAGCACGTGGTCTCCTCACTCAGTGCTTCTCTGTCTTCCACAGTTACCAGATCACCCTCTGCTCAGATAGCTTCAGAAGGGGAGAAAAGAGAGAGAGAGAGAGAGAGAGAGAGAGAGAGAGAGAGATGTGGCCTGAAGGCGTCAGGGATAGTTCGGAAATTGATTGGCCCCCAAGTGGACAAGACAGAGAGGAGAGGAGAGAAGAGAATTATACAGTGAGAACAGAAGTGGATGGGACGCTTTGAAACTGGGGTTTAGTGGATTGGAAGAATCAAGTTCAGGCCAGGCAGGTGAGAATCTGATATTTATGGGGAAAACCTGCTGCTGGTAGATACTATTTTACATCTTCAATGACCTGCTGATGGCTTCTTAAAATATGTTTATGTAAGAAAGTAAGTGTTCAGAAAATATGAACATTTTTCAGGTTCATAATATTGTTCAGACTTTAGAACTTCTGAGGCTCAAAGACAGAAGCTTTTGCTTTTATTAAGATTTCAAGTTTTTTTTTTTAAAGACATTTTCCCCCTGTAGTTCAGGCTGGCCTTAAGCCCATGATCCCCCTGCCTCAGCCTCCTCAGTACTGGCCTTCTGGGTGACCTTTACTACCATACTCGGTTCCCACTGAAGCCTTTGGGGCATAGAGTAATCTGGTAAATGCAGAAGACAGAGGAGGAGCAGAGAGTGTGGAGGCCATGTGTTCTCCATGTATTTGCTTTCTAGAACCATCTCTAAAGTCTTGAGGATATCAGCTCCAATGCATTTATTTCAACATAAATATCCATTTTTTTCAAGATAGGGTTTCTCTGTATTGCCCTAGCTGTCCTTATACTTACTCTGTAACCAGGCTGGCTTTGAACTCAGAGATCCACCTGCCTCTGCCTCCAGAGTGCTGGGATTAAAGGTGTGCACCACCACTGCCTGGCATAAATACCCATTCTTTGTACTCATGTTATTAAGAGTAAGTAGTATTAAACCAGGTCAGGGGGTGTCTGAGTTTATAAAGAACTTGCTTTGTAAGAACAGGGACCTGTGTCAAGTGTCAGGTTCCCACATAAAAAAAGTGTAGTGTAATGTTGTGTGCTTGTAATTCCAGGGATGGGTCAGCCAGTGTAGTTGAATTGGTGATCCCTTATCCAATGAGATACCTGTCTTAAAAAGGGTGACTTGTAGTCTTCAGAATGACAACAGATGTTGTCCTTCAGCTTTCATATGTGTGCCACCAATTATATATGCTCATCAGTATACACAGTCATACACACATACACACAGGCATGCCCACACATATGCATGCTCTTCAGTTTACACAAACAGACATATACACATGCACAAAATATTAAGCCTACTTTTATCTCACACAGTGAGCTAATAGTCTCTTTGAGTACAAGGGCACTGTTTATCTGTCATGCAGGTGGTATGGTATTGTCTTTGCAGATGTTATTATTATAAGTTTTGTTGCTGTGGTTCTGATTGTCATGGCTACAATTGTTCAATTTCTCTAGCTCAATAGGTATGAAAATATAATACATTTGAAACAATTTTTTATTGCAAATTTAGATTTGGATGGAACCAGCCAACTCAGTTACTCTGAGATTCTGTCTTATGAAGATCATCCCATCCCTACTCATCCACAGTCTCCTTATAAGAGCAGAGACACCGGCCACCATGACCCTTGTCATCAAGAGACTGGTCTGGTCCGAAGCCTCAGTCGTCCTTGTGCAGATGGCATCCTGGAGACGGAGACAGCTTTTACTAACCGGGACTTTGAAGATCCCTATGCCACTCACAGCTCCTCTATGTGGAGTTCAGAGGCAAGTTGTTTCCTTTCTTTTTTCTTTTTCTGTTTTTAGCAAGTTGTTTTCTATTCTTTGTTTTAGTGCCATGCACTCACTAATTTCCTTCCCTCCTCCTTACCTGATGTCTCCAGAAAGGAAGTATTGCCTGGTCTATAAAACCTTCTATTTGAAACAAACTTTGTCTCAGTGACCAGAGCCTCTGTGAAGAGCAATACAATAATCACAGATAAATTCTTTCAAAATGGAAGCAGCAGAAGAATGTGGTGGGAAGAACAGAGAAGGGCTATCAGGAAAAGAGCCTTCTCAGGGTTAGTCTCCTACAAGGGGCTTTCAGATCTTCCAAGAGAGTCTGATTGCTTTCCTTTGTAGAAAAGTGGATTCTGTTTCATCTTACCCCAAATCTTTAGCTATGCTTACTAAAATAAAAATTACTGGAGAATTTAACTAAAGTAAATGTTCCTCAAAATGAAAGTACACATGACATAATGACAAGGGTCTTGTAGGATTAGTTTTGAGTGGAATTGGCGGCCTGGGAGGTGGTGCTGAGTAATAATATTCTGGCCATTGATGTTGCTTTTTGTAATGAACATTTGATGGAAGATGCAGCTTATGAATCTGTTTTCCAATTAAAGCTTGTCTATCATATGTCAGAGGTAGGGCTAGTGATGATAAAGAAGGCAGCGGTGATGGAGAGGGACACCAGCTACTACAGTCCTGGGTTTTACAAACTTGTCTTATCTCATAGGCATTTCTGATTGTTCTTCATGAGCTCCACCCATTCTATAATGGTTCCCTGCCATTAAGAGGTATTAACTAGTGGTGTTTAATATCTAATTTGAAATCAATTTAGATGAAATTACTCTTAAGCTTTTAAGAGTCAGTGTTCGTATGACTTCAGTATAACATAGGGGTGAGTATAGAATGAGTTGATTACTACAACCAGAGAAAATAAGTTGAGGTGAATCTCTTTAAAAGGACTCCAAAGTCACAATTGGGTAAATGCTTAAATAAACAACAGAGAACACTGTAGAAAATCATGTTCCAAAGCCTTGCTGTTGTGAAGTTAGCTGGGATACATAGGGCGTGTATGATTGCCTGTGTGCACTCATTTGCATACATGTACTGGAGCCTCAATGATGCTGTTTCTGCTGAGACCCAGAAATGGAAACTCAGATGACTAGTTTATGGCTTGTTAAAGCCAATCCTTACCATGAAGGTACCAAATGCCACTTAGTTTAATCAGTTTTGTTAAAAAGAAAAAAAAAAAAAGAGACAGAAACAAAATACCAGTCTGCTTTCCCATGGTATCACTGCTCAGAGTCAAATCAAATCCCACACAATATTTAAAAATATTCCCTTTGTCTCCCTCACTGCAAAAACAAACCAGAACTATTTACCTGCCTGTTGATAATGCTGTCTCCCTGATAATTGTGCTATTAGGTTTGGACTTGCCTTCTCCACATAACCTCCCATTTTCCTGCCTCCTGGTGCTTTAATAGATGACTTATGCTGAGGGTACTGAATGTTCTCATACTCCAAAAATACCCAGACAGCTCCATGTGCGCCATTCAACCTCCTATCTATTTTGAGACAAAAACTGTAATTTGGTGCTCCTACTGTAGAACTTCAGATCCAGCCCAGGCAGTTCCCGTAACTGGCTGCTCTACAGGCGTGGCCTCTTAAGCATTGATTTATTTGTCTCTTAGCTGTGTTAAGAACCTTGTCTTCCCTGGAGTATCTGGCATCCAGAACATATTGTGGATCCATTTACTTTGGGCCACAAGATGACATCAACACTATCTTACTAAAACAGGAAGGCTTTTCAGTTTGACAGAAAATCTTTAAACTTACAGGGGTTTTGACAGTTTGATGCAAGCATTTCCACCTTAAAGGGGAAAATCAGGACAGGAGAGCTCAAGGAATCATTTATTTTGTCTCAGAAGGAAAGCACTCATGTGGTGTGACTACCTGCTATGATCATGGATTTTCCAGTTTACTCTCAGCTGGCTAAGACCATTGACTTTCTCCTGCAGACCTAGGGAAAACAATGGGAAGGTGGCTGGAAATTTCAAACACGCAGAGAGCCAGGTGTCCCACTTTTCATCTCTGCTTTCCACTGATTAATTGGTTGGCCTTGAGAAGTTAATTAAAATCTGCCAAATGGGGATAAGAAGGAAGAGTGTTTTACCTTGCAGGAAGGTCAAACAGATTAGCAGTATTAACAGTACCCATACAAGGAGCTCCTTTGGTGGCCTGGTGAGAGGTAATGTGTGTTGAAATAATTAATTGCTTTGAAAATACAAACCTCCACAAATCTCTGTCTCAAATCAACCCAGGTAGAGGCTGTGAAGCCCAGTTTTCATGAGCAACAGCTGGGATTGGCCCACTGGGAGCCCAGATGCTTCCCAGAGCTGTACTTTGCCCAGAGTTCTCAGAGCAGTTGCAGTAGAGCTCTGCCCAGGACTCCTCAGAAGCCTGCAGGTGCAGAGAACATTATAGATGGCTTGATGGATGTGCAGCGAGATGCTTATTACCAGGGTATTTTTACCTTGGCATTGGAGTAGATGATGAAGCTAGTGACTCCTACTTAGTATTAAGAGCAGAGGCCTGCAAGGTCATGGATTTACAGTACTGCCATCCAACTTCCATCTCTACAACCTTCCATCTTCATCTCACATGCCTAATACACATGGAAGCATCTATGGTTAAAGGGCTAGCGGAAAGAAGTAGGTCATGTAGCTTAACACAAGGTTTGGGATTTTGACTATTCACCACCAGGTAAGGTATGCTCTCAGGCAGCTGGGAGTGAGAATCCCGAATGATCCTGGCCTGGCATATGACTCCAGTATTCAAACGGTATAAGTTCCATAGCCCATTTTAGCTTTAGTTTCCTTTCCCATGAAATAAAGATGTTAAAACACTAGCTCATTGGGCAGATAGAAATATTAGAAAGCACAGTGTTTCTTAGTTGGGTTCCAGACAGAAAGCCAAAGGTTGAATGCTTTTGTTCCCTACATTGCTATTGAGTGCATTCTCAATGGATGAGGGAATGAAGGAGGGAAAAGTAAAGGTTATGGATGAGAATGTTCCATTGAGTTGACCACCACCAAGTATGGCCAATTGCGTTATCCTGTGGGACATAGTCCAAGAAATTATAACCTGCGCTCAGGTTATAATTTTGTCAGTGGGAGAAAGCTTATTGCATGGGGGTATTAAAGATGGCACATGCTAGCTCTTCCAAACATGGTGGGAAGCAGACAACTTTCTAAGTTTGGTACCAATGGACGAATGATGAGAGCTGAACATTATATTGTATGAGCAGAAAGTAAGAGCTTACTGGGTTGTGCCAGTCTGCAGCTTCTTAGAGCCCAGGTAAATTGTGCCTGTAGAGGAAAATGGAACTAGATTTGAGGCCAAGGGGGATTGGAAGTGTGCAAAAGCTGCCTTTTATAGTCTATAACAGACTTGTTATGGTGCCTGACATAAAGAACAACTTCAAAGACGCTAGCTATTGCTATTCACATCTAGGCAAGCCATGTAGATGATCAAGAGTAGGCTTAAGTAGATGGCAGTTTTAAGGGAAGATAGGAGCTTAAGAAAAGATTCTGCTTTGGTTTTTCAGTTAGCTGAACTCCTTGGAGACTTGCTTCTAATATTATATATACACTAGTCAGTTGTATTCAGAAGTCTCTATAGCAACGACTGCTATCACTTGAAACTAAGTACCTCTGAATAGAAATGCTCATGCATGATTGCATGCACAAGGGGAAGACTAGAAGAAGCTTCCCTTATTTTACAAGAAAGCGGAATTTTCTTGGCAGGCTAATTTGAATCTTAAAAGAGAAGGGGATTTACTAGATGTCTCCGATATGTCAAGTGCACAGCATCCCTATGTAGTGTGTATCATCATTATTTTACTATTGAGGAAAAAAATAATACAAAGTATTAGATTTTTTGCCCAGTGTTTTAGAGCTTATAAATAGCAGACTTCTAAAGAACATTTGATTCTACAGCACCATGTACTTCCCCTATGACTGTGTGGGAAAGTTTCATTGATAAATGCACACATTGAAGTATTTTTTTGTAATTTTTTGAAGTAATCTCTGAATTAGCAACATCTAGAGTTCAATTGCACAAATAAAGAACTGATTTACATTAAGAATGGGTTCACTATGACACTCTTTTAGTTATAGGTAAGACTCAAGCCCTCAGGGAAAAATTAAAAAAATATATTCATATAATTAATAATTTGTTGGTCTGATGATCATTACAGTAAATGGTGTTCGCTTTAGTTTTCCCAGTAAGGGCATCAGATCTGAGTAGCTACAAGTAAATTGATGATCAAGAGTGACATTCCATAAGGAGAGAGGCATGCTTGAAAAGAGGTGGCTCCATACCAGTACAGGGAGTAGATTCAGAGTCTGGTCTGAAGAGGGATTTTCATTCTTACTAAAACCTCACAGCCCTACTCTAGTAAGTAGGCATATACTAATGTACATTTTTCAGTTTTGCAAGGGCTCAACAAAACCAACCAGTGGTAGAGTCATGAAGTTAACCCAGGTTTTCTAGCTCCCTTGGTTCTTGTTTGCTCACTGGCTGATGTGAGTCATCACTTTAGCCTTCACTTTGGATGATCTCCTTAGCTTGGGCTTGCTGTGGCTAACATTCCTGGCAAGCATCTCAGAAATGGAGTCTCTGGCCCAAGCCCTTGACTTAGGGAGAATCCTTGGATGACTCAGCTAGCTACTAGGGGAGAAGCTCAGCTGGTAGTCTTTTCTCTCAGGAAATTTGAAAACACATTGAAAGATCTGTTGCTCCAGACCCCACTCTGCCCCCTATTGGGATTTTTTGCCTATGGGAAGGTTCTGATTTGCAGACAACAGTTCCAGGCTTAGCAATTACTCCTGGGGACTCTAAAGTTCCCTGTTGGCATTTACATAGTAGATAGTTGACTTAATTAGAGACTTCATGTATCAGTTGGTTTCAACCATAGGGGGCACTTGAACTTTTTTTGTGAGGCAGTGCACATTACGAAACTTGAACAATCTAAGTGGTTCATTTATTTCTTTAAAAAAAACATTCTCAGAAACTTACCCTATGCCAGGCACTGTGTCCTCCAAGAAGTCACAGTCTGGTGGAGAGGGCTTAGCACTCCGACCTTTCCTAACACACAAGAAGGCCACATGTTAGCAGTCAGAAAGCTTGGGAGGCAAGGAAGCACCACAGGGCAGCAACCTGCCAATGTGCTAAGTCACCATCATTTCCAGTCCTCATTTTTCCCTGTTTGTAACAGGAGCAGGATGGGACCAATCTGCAAGTGCCACCCAGGCTTTTGGAGCCTATCTCAAAGTGCGGTTACCTGGATGTCATCTTTGAATATAAAGCTATAACCCAGAAGCTCACCGTGACTATTGTGAGAGCACAGGGGCTTCCAGATAAGGACCGAAGTGGTGTCAATTCTTGGCAAGTTCATGTAGTGCTGCTGCCCAGCAAGAAACAGAGGGGTAAGACGAACATCCAGAGAGGGCCCAATCCTGTCTTCAAGGAGAAGGTCACCTTCTCCAAGCTGGAGCCCAGAGACGTGGCTGCCTGTGCTGTCCGATTCCGCCTGTATGCTGCCCGTAAGATGACCCGAGAGAGGATGATGGGAGAGAAGCTGTTTCGTCTCAGCCACTTGCACCCAGAAGGGGAAATGAAAGTAACTCTGGTTCTGGAGCCAAGAAGTAATATAAGTGTGAGTATATTAAATGGCGTTGCTAATGATGCGGTGTGTTCAAAGATCTGGGATTGCCAGCCTTGATTTACAACATTCAGCTTGTGAATTCATAGGTGTTAATTTAATTTTCCATTTGGCTCTCCTCATCACTAATAAGCCACAATTTGCACTTCATAGACAGTGGGTCTTTCAAGCCTGTTACCCTGATAACTTGATGGATATAATTTCCACTCATTTTAGGAAATGACAGTGGCAACATGGTAGAGGCCATGGTAAGACCTGGAGAGGCTTTTGACTTAGTGGATAAGCATTCCTACTCTTCCCATTCCCAGGATACATCGTGATGATTCTCAGACATGCTATTTTTGTTGTTGTTGTTTTCTTGAAACAAGAGTCTTACTATGTAGTCCAGGCTGGCCTCAAACCCATTCTGTAACCTAGGATGTCTTCCAATTCATGATTCTATTACTTCATCTTCCCAGGTGCCAGAATTACAGGTGTATATTACTAAACTGAGGCAAGGCTCTTAACGAGCATTCAAAAGCATCCTACAATAGCAACCCCCAAATGCATGGCACTTCCAAGACCTTCTATTTTTATGGCTGGTCTCCTACCATGTATCTTACTCCTAGGGCTTCAATAGCTTGAAGAGGTGGGCAGCCCCACTGCTGCTGGTGGTTATCTGTCATGTAATGTGAAGAGCTCCTTTTACAAAACTATATAGAAAAATCAGGCAGCTGTGGTTAGTCAAGCAATCAGTCATTCATTCAGAGATGTTTCCTGACTTGTGCTGTGTAAACCAAGTAGCTACAGAGGCAAGCAGACAGCTATTATTCCATAGTCTAGTAGAGGAGGGTGTTGACAGGCAGGCCTTGCTAAACAAATCTCCAGAGGCTGTGGCTTGCTTTGAATGACCAGGAGAGGGTTTTTTGAGATGGTGAAAAAAAAAAAAAGACAATTGAGGGAACAAGACTGGTGACATGTGTGGGTGGATATTCAAGACTAAGGGAGGGGCACACATAGGCATTGTGGAGGAAAAAGAATCGTTCCAGGATGGTTCTAATTCTGCCTGAACATCTTTATACTGGAAATCCTAATTTTTGCCTCTCTAAATCTATGCCACCTGCTGTCTATGAGACCTGCCTGCTGGCAAGCTCATCCTTCCAGTCTCTAGCTCCAAAACCGTAACGCTCACCTGTGACCTCTCTTCTCTAGCTGAAAGCTGTGCCTTCTCTTTAGATATAAGCAGAACCTGGCTCTTTGGTGGGCTAGTGGAATAGTCCCCTGCTGGTGGCCTCAAAGCTGTTCTCTGACATAAGGGTTAGAATGAGCTCAAGAAAGCACAAGCCAGATCATGTCTGATGTCTACCCAAATCCTTTCTTTGCTTAAAATCATGAAATCATAGAGAACAGAATTCAAAACAGAGTCAAAAAGATACCCTGCACTCGGAAGCACAGCAGTGAGTATGGCCATACCCATACTTGCCAGGAGCAGTCCCTGGGCTTTGTCCTGGGGGCACAGGCTAATGGGGAGAAGGAGCCAGTGTGAAGGAATTTTGAAGGAGGAAAATATCTTATTTATCATCTACTGTTGAGCATGGTTATGTGCCAGATACGCATCTATGCAGGAGGGGCTGAGTAAAGGATATAGATTTACGGACATGGTAGGAGTAGCCAAACAGTACTATGAGAGGCACCACAGTAGAGGTTGCTATGGAAATACAAGGATGGGTGGCCTCCTCCCAAGGATGCAGAGGTTTCACTTGTATTTCTAGCTTCTGGGCATCAAAGCCTATAAGGCTCCAGTTGAGATCACTAGCCATTCTACTTACTAGTCATGATCCATGAAAGCCCGGAGGCTCTTACAGAAACACACATGGTTTGGTTAAAGTGATGCATTTTCCTGGACAGGCACAGCATTTGATCCCTTTTATTGTTTTTGTTTTTTTGGAATGCTGACAAGAAGTTTTAGAAAATTATTTCAGATACAGACAAAAAAGATTCAAAACAAGTTCCATGTACCTGTGTCCTGTAGAGGAGGTGGTACGCTGGAAGGACTGCTGGTTTATTCTAGCCGGGCTGATGCTCACTCATGTTCCTCAGTGAGAATCAGTGTCTTTGTCTATCTTGTCCTATTTTTTTTGATGTGTCTGGCACATAACAATGGCACTCAGAAGTGTGCACATGAATAAACATGAGAAAAAGCCTGGGCTCTCTCCTTGGTTTACCTGCCGCTACCCGGGGCCCCAAGATCCACAGTCAATACATCTGATCCTCTATCAAATAACAAATAGTGAAAGTGCTTACTTCCTCTGTAACTTTTTTCCATAGGAGATAAAAATTCCTATATGGAATACACTTCCTTAGCAGCAGAACCGACACCAGGTGTTTTATGTATTGGCTAGTACCCAGTGGTCATTTCTTTTACTTTTGAGACAAAACATCTTCTGTAAAGCCTTATTCATCAAGAATGAAGAGAACAGAGACAAAGCTCAGGCCTGAGTGGGTAGGTTCCACCGAAACATTCAGGAACAAATTACACAGGAGGGAATCTTGGCCTATATTAAATGTATTATTCACACTCCATGTATTTTAGAAGGTTTGATTTACACTAGCAATAACATCTTTGTCCATTTTGTCTTTAGAAAGGAAATATTGAATGGAGATTACTCTTGGAATAAATATGTCAGCTACTACCACAGGCCATCTCATACATGGCTGCATTCCCCAGTACATTGTAATTCACAATGAGTGCCCATTAGTAGTCTTTGGCAGTCATTGAGACCGGGTCACAATTTCACCAAACATAATATCAGCTTTCTTTCAAAGAGAGGGACGCAGCATGGGCCAATGAATTCTTTGTGTTCTTCCCCTCCAGAGTGGAGAGTCTCCGCTCAGCCCATCTGTGGTGTCTCACAGTGACAGTGCTTCATCCACACAGTCACTGTCTCATGGAGGGGTGCCAGAGCTGTTGGTGGGACTGTCCTACAATGCCACAACAGGGCGATTATCTGTGGAAATGGTCAAAGGCAGCCATTTCCGCAACCTCGCTGCTAACCGAGCTCCTGGTAAGTATGTGTTTGCTGCTCTTGCTCTGGTATCTCCAGAGGCAAATGAAAGGCCTTGTCTATTTCATCTTAATTCTTCAATTTTTTGTGGTAAAAGATAGATTTGGTATGGTTTGGATATATTTTCATGAAGCAATACCTCTGGTTTTCTTGATGGCTTCTATTTAATTAGAAGAAAGACTTCTATGGTATCTAAATATATCTTGATGTGATTTAGAATGATTCATGTATAATTTGAGGAAAAAGACTGAAGCCTTTCCAGAAATGTAACATGCATGGGAATTGAAATCTGCCAATATTTTATAGGCTCTCTACTGTACAGAGGCAGAGCTCTGACTTTGGAGGGAAGCAGAGAGAGCTGGGATTGAATTCCAGCTCTATTATTACCCATGTAGTTTGCTCTGATCTCTCACAGTCAGACTCTTGAACACTTCTTGAACCACCTGGAAAAAAATTGGCCAATACCTTCCTGATATGAAAATGTGGTATTTAAATAAATACATAAATTTATATGAAGGGCTTAGCATATTGCTGAACATACACTGAACACATAGAAATGTTAGCAATGGTTATATTGTAAAGGGAATAGATCTGGGGCAATGCAAGATTGTCTCATCAGGAAAATGACTACTTCTGAGGTCACTGTTAGAAAGAAATGACCAGGACAGCCCTTTGCCCCTCATGGAGGGAGGTCAGGGTTCAAGAAGAGTTAAACAACTGCTGCTACCAGTTGCCTCAGTAGCCCTTCAAACTAAGAAGTTAGATAATGAACAATGAAACAACACTGTTACAAAATTGCCTCATTTTTTTTTATGATCTTAGTTACCTGCTAACTAGAAGATGAACTTTTGCTTTTTGGACTTCATGTAAATACATCTAATTAGAGGAACATACTTTGTATCTGGAATGCTAGCTGCAAGAGAGTTAGAAACATGTTGTAGAATTATTTCTAGCCTCTTCTAAACAAGAAGGTAAATCTGAAGATGGGAAAGTAGAAAGGAAGGAATGTGCTTCCCAGGGGAACTAGAATCTCATTAATCGAATGGCAAAATCAGTACAAAGCTGACAGTCAATGAGCCCTGGCTTTATATGGAAGAGAGAGATGAAGAACTAGATTTAAGGGTCAGCTCCTATATCTGAAACTTCCATTTTTCCCCCTTTCACTGTGTTGTAGAATACCAAGCATCTGTTGTAAGTGGCTATCTTTCTAGCCAAACTTTTAAAGAGAACTAAGGAGCAAGCTCAGCTAGCTAAGTGTTTGCTTCACAAGTATGAACACCTGAGTTTAACACCCAAAACTCATGTGAAATGGTGGTACACTTGTAACCTCTACACTGGGGAGGAGGATACAAGAGGATCCTTTGGGATTGCTGGCCAGGCAGTCTAGTGTAGCTTCATTGGTAAGTTCCAGGCCAATGAGATACCCTGTCTAAAGAGGTAAGTGATTTCCTTGAGGATGGAACCTAAGGTTGTACTCCACCATCCACATTAATGTGAACATACAAGTGCACTTGAACATATACAAATAAACATGTTCCCCTCAACACACATGCATTAACAAAACTGTGTGAAGCCAGTAGAGAAAGCCCCAGAACTCTGGGTATTGGAGTAGACAGAGAGGCGCATAATTCACATCCCATGTCACCATCCAGGCAGGTGAGAGCTATTTAGAATGTACAATAGGCACTGATCAGTCATTGTACAGCTATAGACTGAAAGATTCAGCCTTTCTTTCTACAACAGCCTAGTACTTGTTAAGATCCTGATTTAAGACTCCATCCCCGGAGCACCTGCCTATCTCCTCCTCTCTGTTGCTGAGATTTGGTAACATCTGAACAATATTTGGGGCTTCAAAGAGTGATGAAGCTTGTGGATCACAGACATGGCCCTTTCAGGCCCAAGTTAGGAACCTCTCATCTGTGTGCTAGATGGTATAGCCCATGCAGGGGAGGAATACCATATGGTGATTAAAAAAGAATCATAAAGAAGCTAACAAATCACACTGTAAATTCAGGTTCTCCTACTTATTAGCTGTGAGTTACTAAGCTACTCTGAATTTGTTTCTTCATCTGTAAATAATATATATTTTAGGTATGGATAATACACATAGAGCTATGATATTGAAGGTTATACCATTGTATCTTCATATAATTCTATTTCTTTAAAATGTGCCCTAAGTAGAAATTATTGTAATCATTATTTAAACATGAATAGAACAAAAGGGGAAGTCTTGGAAATGAATTAAATTCCATAAGTTTAAGTCCATGTACATGAGTACATGAGCATAGGATTTACTATAGACATAGTGTCACAATGTAACTTTAACTGTGATTGGCATACTTCATCTCTGAATCCAAAGCATTAGAAAGCAATGTTGTGAGACTCTTAATTAAAACCAAAACCAAGCAGTGGAAACAAAAGGTTTTTTGTCTATTTAAAATGCTGGTTGTTAAGGAAAGGCCAATTAGGAGGGGATGAGAAAGTAAGAAAAATTCCTTTGCAGAGCTCCTGCAAGGGACCTCCTGGGACTTTCCAGGACTTGAGCAGCTGGCAGTGTTAGCTCTGCATTATGGCAGGAGCACTAACTACATTGACATCTATCAGGCAAATTTAGGGTATATACTTGGTGTTATGAGGGGACTGAGCAGAGTTGGAAGAAGTGGAGAAGGAAAGAGGATAGGAGTCGGTTGATAAATGAGCTGTGAGAACAGGGCAGGAGGGAAGCTGGGTGCACTGCTGCCCACAGCAGAGAGAGAGGGTGTTAAGTGGATACCCAAGGGCTCGCCTACCAGGGGGAGAGGTATGCCTAAGAAATAAACATGAGACAGGGTCACAAAATACTGCATTTGAGGCTCTCAGCTCAGGTGTCTCCACCCCTTCTGTAAAAAGGGAACATCACTCGCAGGCGGCCATGATTGTGGAATAGTGGTGTTTGGGTGAATATGGAGAGGAGGCGGAGCCTGAACATTGAGAACTTTTCTTCTTCTTCTTTGCAGTATTGCAAAGGTTAAGGTTTTACATCTTGGCAGAAAAGAGACAAAAGGTGAGATTTAGATGTAAGAGTCTCTTATGATGTATCATAAAACAAAAGAACTTTGAACTTGCCACTTTAATCTAATCAGAAGGTTGTTGTGATATTCTAAACTTTTTCTCCCTAAGCAAAATAGACAATTTAGAAAAAGAGTAGATGGGATTCTTTTCCTTTACAAGAGCCTGAGAGGAAACAGACAGCCAAGTTGTAATTAGTTCTCCTACATCTAAGGTAAGATCCTTGGTGAGGGGGGACTCAGCTGGCCAAGGAAAACAATGAGTCACCATAATTATTAACCATGCCAACCAGAGTCTACTTATCCTTCATTTATTACCAAATGGCTGAAACCAGAAGGTCTCAAGATGTGAAGAATTTGTTCATGGTGGTCAGGGTTCTATAGAATAACAACTTATGGAATGAATCTCTCCAAGCATATGGAATTTATTAAAATGACTTGCAGGCTGTGGTCCAGCTAATCCAAAATGGCTGCCTATGAATGGAAGGTCCAAGAATCCAGAATTTGTTCAGTCTGTGAGACCGGATGTCTCAGGTGGTCCTCATTATATACCAGAGTCCTGAAGAAGTAGGCTCTAATGCCAGTTAAGGAATGGACTTGCAAGCAAGAGGGAGAACAAGTAGGCAAAAAGAGAGAGCTTCCTTCTCCCATGCCATTTATATAAGGTACCAACAGAAGGCATGGCCCACATTAAAAATCTCAAAGATTCAGACTAAAATCGAGTATTCCCACTTCAAATGATTTAACTAAGAAAAATCCCTCATAGGTGTGCCCAAACATTTGGATTTTAGCTAATTCCAGATGTAGTCAATTTGACAAGCAAGAATAGCTGTTACAGTGGGAATATAAGCTGAAACAGCCACTTTGGCCACCTGGAAATTTCTTATCTAATTTGGCATGCTCTGACATTCCAGAAGTTCTTCCCTAGCATCAACCTTAAGCCAAAAATAAGCAAGTGTGTATAATAATTTTACTGGTCAGAAATATTGTAATTGCCAGTAAGCTGGTATAGGCTAGTCTACAACTCTTCTAGTAGAAAAGGAGAGTCCAGGTTCACAGCTGGAGGACAAGTGAGAGAATAAGATCTGGTACCTAGCAGCTTTCTGAAACCCCCATGTGCTGTACAGATTCCTTTGCATAAGATATCAGCGCCAGTCAGAAACATTTGATTGTCTTTTGAATTTGGTTTCCTGGAAAAGCAATTCAGTCGAAGTTTAACACATCTCCTCTGTTGTTAGTGTAGGCCTGCCACCCAGTTATTGCTTGGCCTTGACATTTGATTGAGCTTCTCTGAATTTAATTTCCTTCTCTATTAAATAAGATTAACAAAGAGATTCACAGGCACACAAGCATTGACATCTTTTGAAGAAGTCATCTACTCTGTTTGATGGCTTCTCTTTCTCCATCCCCGCTCTGCCTTCACTGACAGCGTGTTTCTTCTGCACTGCGTGTGTATGTGTACATAGCCACATACAATGGTGCTTGTCAAAAGCTATCATTAAGACGTCCCCTCCAGTTAAAACCAGCAAGTCCCCAGCTTCTCAGCATGCACATGATTAGTCACATGTGATAATTACAACCCAAATGATAATACTTAACAGCAGCAGTGTATTAACCTTGTTAGGCAATCACAATAGCAGGGTAGAGGAAAGAAAAAACAGAAAAGCAAACCTGAGCTGGCTCTTGTTTGCTGTGATAAGGGAGTGAAAGCTAAGGGTATAGTATACAAATAGAGTGCACGGGGGAAAGGATTCAATGAAAATGGGTATGCATGGGACATAGGCCTGTTTTTCAGAACTGTTTTAGTTAAACAGTGTTTTAGTAGCCACTGCGTGCTTATTATAACAGTCAGTTCTTATGCAGATTGAGAATTGACGCTAAGTTATCAAGTGCACATGTAATTTTTCTCTTTCTAAAAAACTCAGTTGTCACAAGAAAGTGGTCTGTGGTCTG